CTGGGTATGCTGGTCTGACTGGGTATGCTGGTCTGACTGGGTATGCTGGTCTGACTGGGTATGCTGGTCTGACAGAACACCGGACTCTGGATCCATTCAAGGTTCTGTTCTAGAACTGATCCACTGAGGGATTACCTCTATTGCAAATACCAGAGAGGCTCTGACTATGAAGGAACAATGGCGCCTTCTAGTGGACAGCAGCAGCGCTACACTGACATTATTCCTTCTAATGTTATTGATGGAGGACATTTTAATCCAATAAACCATTAATCCAGAATTTCATGTAGAACAATTAAAATGTTTGCATCCAGTTGATTCTCAAAACTGCTATATTGGTACCATAGTTATTCCTTGCATAACGTCATTATCTCTTTATCTGGATTTATAGTTACAGATATGCATATATATACATATATATTTGTATATATTTATATTATCTTATATATATACATATATATTTTAAAATGTGAATTTAAATCTGCTTTGAACCCTGAGCAGCAGGAACCGAGGGGTTAATTATCAGAAATAAAGTTAAAATTTTGTTCTTTTCTTTTTCTGACTAATGCAGATTTTATAGATCTGTGTTTAATGCAGAATTCATAGTAGATCAGGAATGTTTGCTCTGGGATGGAAACCTTGGATGTCTAGAATTATTCCTTTATTGGACATTTTGTGAGAAACATTTTTTTATAAAATAGGGCATTAATTTATATAAGTTTATTTGAATTCTATAAATCAAAGTTTTCTGCCCAGCAGCAATGATGATCTGCACGGCAGCATTCTATACCCAGCTATTGTAGCATCTAGGATAGAGCTGCAGGCTGGGAAAGAATCTGGTTGGTATTACAAATTGTAAATCTTTGAAACCTAAAACTGATTAAAACAGATTAAAACTAGAGTAAAACTAAAAATAGTTTTATATTTGGTGTTGAAGACTAAGCCTAAATCTCAGAAACACTGGATCTGACTGCAGAGAATCACTCCAGGATTTAACTGAAGGGAAATAAAGAAGATGCTTCAAGGTAACGTCGATGTTTTCTGTTTCCTTCAGCGGAACAACTTCCTGGAGGCGGAGAGCGTGGAGATGGAGAAAGAGAGGGAGCAGATCAGGTCAGACTGGATGCATTTTCATCAAAGAAGTTTTTATCTTTGCTCCTAATCCTTCCTGTTAGTGGAAGTCTGTGTCGGTGGATCTGGGATGAAGTTCTTGGCTAAATGTTTCCAGGCTTCTAGACGCTCCTCTATGTACGACGACCCTGCTGCCGTAGTTTGGGAATCTTTCAGGACAGTTTAGGTTATTTATTAAAGGATTAGTTTAAAAAACTAAACTTCCAGGTGTTTGAGGCGACAGTGAAGCAAAACCAATCCAATAAACAGACACTTCTAATTCCAGCGGTTCCTGAATGCAGCAGCTGCCTAAACTCATCATCATCCTCATGTCTTTTTTTTTTATTAATCTTTTTTGTTTCAGTTTCCAAACAGTTTTTATTGAAATGTTTTCTATATGAAAATGTTTTTTTTTCGTTGTTGAAGCGACTTTATGGCTTTAATTCAGCTCCATGTGAAGCAAACATCTCATTGCTCTGCAGGTTCGACATGCGCGCCCTGCTGGTGAACAACGAGGACCTGCTGAGGACCAACGCCCAGCTGAACAACGAGATGAAGAGGATCCGGGAGCAGATGATGGAGATGGAGAAGGAGAGCCAGGCCGTGAAGGAGCAGTACATCCAGATGGAGGTGAGGAGTCAGACAGCGGGGGAGCGAGGAGCAGGCGGGTTCCAGTCTGATCAACGTTTCTTCCTTTTTTTGCAGATGGAGGTGAGACAAGCTCGAGAAATGATGGTGGAGGCCAACAATCAGGAGTACGCCTTCAACTTCCTGCAGCAGTCCCTGAAGAACAAGATCCAGGATGCTGAGGTAGGTCTCTAGAAGAAGCTTCACACCAAAATCCTTCACAGCTCTAGGCAGCTGCTTCCTGGCTGCTTCCTGGCTGCCTCCTGGCTGCTTCCTGGCTACTTCCTGGCTGCTTCCTGGCTACTTCCTGGCTGCCTTCTGGCTACCTCCTGGCTGCCTTCTGGCTGCTTCCTGGCTACTTCCTGGCTGTTTCCTGGCTGCCTCCTGGCTGCTTCCTTGCTACTTCCTGGCTGCCTCCTTCTTGGCAGCTTCCTTGCTACTTCCTGGCTGCCTTCTGGCTGCCTCCTGGCTGCTTCCTGGCTGCCTCCTGGATGCTTCCTGGCTACTTCCTGGCTGCTTCCTTGCTAC